TGGGAAGGGGGGATGCGATTGTTCGCGCTTCGTTTTTTGTAGCCGCCGTTTGTCAACAACTGTGAAAACGTGTCGCGAGGCTCGAATAAACGTTTCTCCTCTTTCCCAAATTGTCCATTTCTGTTTACAAGCTGAGGGATTGTTGGGGAGAATTTACTGTACGTGCATCGAGCTAACAAAATGGTTAAGTCAAACAACTATTGCGAGGTAACATTAGATTTACGCAGCACAAGAAACAGCTGTTTTATATTAGTTCGTAAAAGTAACAATAAGACATTTAGTCTGGTTTTTAACAAGTGTTATTAATCAGAAATAACTTATAAATGTATCTTCACGATATGAATAACCGTAGATTAAACAATTAGTGACCCGTCATTTTGACGGGTTCCTGTAAATCTAGTGTTAAATAATAATTATGCGGTTTGACAAGTGTTATACTGTATCATTTGCCGTAAGTAACGTACAAATTGAATAAATAACTCATAAATGCATCTTTACGATATGAATGATCGAAAATTAAAAAATTTACCCGTCATTTTGACGGGTTCCGTAAATCTAGTGTTAAATAATAATTATACGATTTGACAAGTGTTATACTGTATCATTTGCCGTAAGTAACGTACAAATTGAATAAATAACTCATAAATGCATCTTTACGATATGAATGATCGAAAATTAAAAAATTTACCCGTCATTGTGACGGGTTCCGAAAATCTAGTGTTAAATAATAATTATGCGGTTTGACAAGTTTTATTATAACATTTGCCGTGAGTAACGTATAAATTGAACAAATAACTCATAAATGCATCATTACGATATGTATAACTGTAAATTAAAAATTTAATGACGGGTTCCGAAAATATAATGTTAACGTTAAATCTACCTTGCTCAAAATAGCCACATGTATTTCGCAGTGTGTAAATATAAATTCGCAATGACTGGACTGCGGACCTTTACGCAAAATAAAAATTTCGTTCAGTAATTGTTCGAAAAAAGAATTGTATAACAATGTATTTCTTCGTTTAATAGTTCTAATCGATTGAAAATAATGCAACAATATACACTTAAACATTCTTCTAATATTTATGTTATGTATATTTTATCTTCTCATTATGCTGTATTTTTCTTATCAATTTTTGCAATAAATGCACAAAGATCCGCAGTCTAGTAATGACATTATCGAATCCAACGAAGAAAAATCGAGGAAGAAATGTAGATCGTGCGTTCTGCAGTACGAGATCAATGTAATCGCGTGTAACAGAGACTTTCCTATCAGTAACGTCTCGTGTTGTAATAATAGATTCCTCCACACGCGACGATCTAGAATGTGTAAGTCGATAAAGCTGAGCAGTCTCCTATTATCCGTATCGGCCAAAATTATTATCGAGATGCCCACGTATCTAATCTTTCACAGTGAAAACTCGAAGATGCCAAATCTAGGTTATGAATGAGTACGAATCAGTGACACTTATTCGTTATCACAAGAACGTTCATTCTTCGGCCCGTCTTATTCTTAAACGAACGTCCCATTCCGTCATATTCATTCACACATTATCGTTTACTCTAGATCTAGATAATGACGACATATTTGTCTCGATATCTACTGAAACAATTCGATTCTTTCAATCAATCAAACTGCTGTTTCGAACCAAACGTTCGATACGAGTCTCTCGAATGACCAAATATCGAGTATTGGCTGCTTCTTATACGTGCAGAAACAATTCGGTGTAATTTCCGCTTTCTTTATGTCGTAATTGTTATGCGCACTGGTCGGTACAGTTACTCACAAAATTGAGCGTACACCTTTTAAAACGCGATCATTTTTTTTTTTAAACTAGACCGAGTGACTTGAATTTTTTTAGGTGATAACGGGACTAGTCTACCGGAGCAAAATGCTTTTTTTCAATTTTGCTATTACTTGACAAAAGGAAATAAATAGCTCTCGTTTTTTTAACTTTTTTATCCGAGCTTGTAACGAAAATGTCAAAAATGCTGAAAATTTTATCGAGAACGGTTGACGTTGTTACGATTTACAACAAATTAAAGATGGCAAAAGTCGCAGTTTTGTCACGATTTTGACCTAAAACTGGAAGAAATCTGCAAGCTTTTTAAATTTTTAGCACACATATAAGTCATCGAAATCTACGAGAGGCATTTTTTTAAATTTTTGTATTTTTTATAGGCTCAATAAAAAAGTTAAAAAATGAAAGTTTCTTGAAATTTTTTTTTATTATCCCAAATAATAGCAAAATTTAAAAAAAAGGCATTTTAATCATCGTCTAGTAGACTAGTCCCTCCATCGTCCAAAAAAAAATTCAAGTCACTTAGTCCAGTTTTAAAAAAGCTATTGCATTTTAAGAGGTGAACGCACAATTTCGCGATTAACTGTATATTTCAGCGAAGACCGACCAGTGTCTCGCACTTCGCAACGCACAAGCAAACGTATACCTCATATACGGCGCGATAGTTCGTTCGCAACTTTTTCACGTTCTCGTTCGTCGCAGTCGTCCAAGGTACACTCGGTCTGTGCAACGAAGGGCGACGTTTCATCGTGGTTGTGCCGCTTTTTCCGACGAGGCCTTCGTTCATAAAACGAGCAACGGGTTTGGCCCGCAATGCGCGAGGGCAATTTTCGTTTCTCGGCTAATAATCGGTAGAGAACCTCGTGAACATTGTTCCGTTCGAAGCTAGAGTGATTAAAAAGAGATCTTACATCAAAGTTTAAGATGTCATTATAAAGGGGAGGCTTCAATCTTGAAATCTGTTCCAAAATTATGGTACTTCCGCAAGGCTTGCGGCTCTAATATTCGAAACTAATAGCTTGATTCTTTCTTTGAGAAGTGGTACATTAGTTCTATTGGGTTGGCAACTAAGTAATTGCCGATTTGTTCAATAAAATAAAAAAATTTTTTTACTTGGAACGAAGTTTAATCTGTAATGTATTTTCCATTTTGTTCGATGACCTTTTGCCATCTCTCTGACAACTCGAAAATTCCACGCTCGTAGAAAGTCTGATCTTTTTCGGCCAAAAACTGAGTTAAGTGAGATTTTACAGCGTCGTCATCGTTAAAAGTTTTACCACGAAGGGAGTTGTTCAGAGATCGAAATAAGTGGTAATCCGATGGCGCGAGATCAGGGCTATATGGTGGGTGTAACATCAATTCCCAACCAATATCCATCAATTTTTGCCGAGCGGACAAAGACGTGTGCGGCCTAGCATTGTCCTGCTGGAAAATGACACCTTTACGATTGACCAATTCTGCTCGCTTTTCCTTGACCGCTGCACTCAATTTGTCCAGTTGCTAACATTCACGGATAATACAAAATAACATAATAATAATAATAATAATAATAATTTTATAATACAACATTTACGGATATCATAAAAATGGGAGTGAGAGACATCTATAACTGAAATCGGCAATTACTTAGTTGCCAACCCAATACTTCTTGACACATTACCTTAAAGGCGACTCTACTAGTACGAATTTATTTAAAATGAAAGTATTAACCAATATTATCATGAAAATAGACAGTATACTGGAACTTCTGGAACTTCTGGACTTTCTAGAAGTTCTGGAACTTCTAGAACTTCTGGAAATTCTGGACTTTCGGGAAGTTCTGGACTTTCTGGAACTTCTGGAACTTCTGGACTTTCTGAAATTTCTGAAACTTCTGGACTTTCTGGAACTTCTGGACTTTTTGGAACTATTCGACTTTCTGGAACCTCTGTAACTTCTGGAACTTCTGGAACTTCTGGGCTTTCTGGACTTTCAGGAAGTTCTGGACTTTTTCTAGAACTTCTGGAACTTCTGAACTTTCTGAAATTTCTGGAACTTCTGGAACTTCTGGACTTTTTGGAAATATTGGACTTTCTGGAACCTCTGTAACTTCTGGAAAATCTGTAATTTCTGTAACTTCGGTAACTTCTGGGCTTTCTGGAATTTCTGGAATTTCTGAACTTCCTGGAACTTCTGGAACTTCTGGATTTTCTGGAACTTCTGGAGCTTCTGGACCTTCCGGACTTTTTGGAACTATTGGACTTTCTAGAACTTCTGGAACTTCTATACTTTATGAAATTTCTGGAACTTCTGGACTTTCTGAAACTTCTGGACTTTCTGGAACTTCTGGAACTTCTGGCCTTTTTGGAACTATTCGACTTTCTGGAACCTCTGTAACTTCTGGAACTTCTGGGCTTTCTGGACTTTCAGGAAGTTCTGGACTTTCTAGAATTTCTGGAACATCTGAACTTTCTGAAATTTCTGGAACTTCTGGAACTTCTGGACTTTTTGGAACTATTGGACTTTCTGGAACCTCTGTAACTTCTGGAAAATCTGTAACTCTTCTGTAACTTCTGGAACTTCTGGGCTTTCTGGAATTTCTGGAATTTCTGAACTTCCTGGAACTTCTGGAACTTCTGGAGCTTCTGGAACTTCCGGACTTTTTGGAACTATTGGACTTTCTGGAACTTCTGGAACTTCTATACTTTCTGGAACTTCTGAACTTTGTGAAACTTTTAGACTTTCTGGAACTTCTGGGTCATTTGGAACTTCTGGACGACGTTTGTTCACGTAAACGCGAATCCCTTGGTTTTCCCACGGCATCCTAGAAACGAGTTTATCGCCGACGCGAGACGAATACCGGACACATAGAGTCAGCCGACTGGGCTATCGTTGTCGATAATGATTCCGCTGTTCGTCCGGCCTCGTGAATCACCGGAGATTGCACTCTGACTCACAACTGACACTTTCCCTTATTTTCTTTTTTATGTAGGCTCGTTCGCTCGATTCACGTTCGCCGATAGTTTTCCGACCAACAGTAATTACGCGCGGTTGTTGAACGCGCGATTTCGCAGGCCGTCTCATATGAATATCACGATTTTTCCAAGTAATTTATTGTTGTGTCCACGACCGTGCGCGGCGTACGAAATGAAATCGAACCGAAGGCAGGAATCATAATTACAATAATAATGAACGCTGTTTTTTTCACTCTGCTTTCAGAAATCGAAGCACAAGAGGCTTGCAAATGGCTGAGGGCAGCTGGCTTTCCGCAATATGCGCAGATGTATGAGGGTGAGTTCGCCGACGGTTTCCTTTGTAACGCTATAGTTTCGGTTGTTTGTACAGTGTTACGCCCATTGTCGGAGCTAATTGAACAAAGAGTATTTGTAGAACGAGACGATGAAACGTGGTTTGTCTACAGTAACGTAGAACATCCGGGAGCTTAGAAATGTGCTCCAAAAAATTCAAATTTCGTCGGGAGAAATGAACGAAGCGCGGAAGAGTAAACAAGACGAACGTATGAATAATTCACGAGAGAGAGAGAGAGAGAGAGAGAGAGAGAGAGAGAGAGAAATATTAAAGAACAGAACGATCGTGCCCGCGATATAAGACCTGGAGCTGCTCTTTTAAAAAGCTTTTAAACGGTTAGCCCCCCCTTGAACTCATTGTCGAGTCTATTTATCCCGGGAAATGTCGTCGATAAATTGAAACGAGCCGGCTAATTAGAATAGGGGACCATTTTCGTGGGGGCGAGTGAACCCTCGTTATTTTCAACGGTTCCAATTTATTTTCAATCTGGTCGACGATTATCAACCTGATCCCCGGTGAAATCCTGCTTAAGGTTCTCCGCCTCTGGAGGACATTCTTAAACGGTTTGGACGCATGGGAAATTGTCAGACGTCTCGTCCAGATCGGAGGAGATTATGACTGAAAGAACTATTAGGAAATTCGAGCGCGGCGTCGCGTCTGTCCCCTCTCCTTCGGTCAGGAATGATCTAAAACGGTCGAAAATGACCAAAAAATGACCCAAAAACCGCCGAAAGTGGTAAAAAATAACCCAAAAACTGTAAAAAATGGTAGAAATAGTCAAAAATGACCCAAAGATCGCCGAAAGTGGTAAAAAATAACCCAAAAACTGTAAAAAATGGTAGAAATAGTCAAAAATGACCCAAAGATCGCCGAAAGTGGTAAAAAATAACCCAAAAACTGTAAAAAATGGTAGAAATAGTCAAAAATGACCCAAAGATCGCCGAAAGTGGTAAAAAATAACCCAAAAACTGTAAAAAATGGTAGAAATAGTCAAAAATGACCCAAAGATCGCCGAAAGTGGTAAAAAATAACCCAAAAACTGTAAAAAATGGTAGAAATAGTCAAAAATGACCCAAAGATCGCCGAAAGTGGTAAAAAATAACCCAAAAACTGTAAAAAATGGTAGAAATAGTCAAAAATGACCCAAAGATCGCCGAAAGTGGTAAAAAATAACCCAAAAACTGTAAAAAATGGTAGAAATAGTCAAAAATGACCCAAAGATCGCCGAAAGTGGTAAAAAATAACCCAAAAACTGTAAAAAATGGTAGAAATAGTCAAAAATGACCCAAAGATCGCCGAAAGTGGTAAAAAATAACCCAAAAACTGTAAAAAATGGTAGAAATAGTCAAAAATGACCCAAAGATCGCCGAAAGTGGTAAAAAATAACCCAAAAACTGTAAAAAATGGTAGAAATAGTCAAAAATGACCCAAAGATCGCCGAAAGTGGTAAAAAATAACCCAAAAACTGTAAAAAATGGTAGAAATAGTCAAAAATGACCCAAAGATCGCCGAAAGTGGTAAAAAATAACCCAAAAACTGTAAAAAATGGTAGAAATAGTCAAAAATGACCCAAAGATCGCCGAAAGTGGTAAAAAATAACCCAAAAACTGTAAAAAATGGTAGAAATAGTCAAAAATGACCCAAAGATCGCCGAAAGTGGTAAAAAATAACCCAAAAACTGTAAAAAATGGTAGAAATAGTCAAAAATGACCCAAAGATCGCCGAAAGTGGTAAAAAATAACCCAAAAACTGTAAAAAATGGTAGAAATAGTCAAAAATGACCCAAAGATCGCCGAAAGTGGTAAAAAATAACCCAAAAACTGTAAAAAATGGTAGAAATAGTCAAAAATGACCCAAAGATCGCCGAAAGTGGTAAAAAATAACCCAAAAACTGTAAAAAATGGTAGAAATAGTCAAAAATGACCCAAAGATCGCCGAAAGTGGTAAAAAATAACCCAAAAACTGTAAAAAATGGTAGAAATAGTCAAAAATGACCCAAAGATCGCCGAAAGTGGTAAAAAATAACCCAAAAACTGTAAAAAATGGTAGAAATAGTCAAAAATGACCCAAAGATCGCCGAAAGTGGTAAAAAATAACCCAAAAACTGTAAAAAATGGTAGAAATAGTAAAAAATGACCCAAAAAGAGGAGGACATTCTTAAACGGTTTGGACGCATGGGAAATTGTCAGACGTCTCGTCCAGATCGGAGGAGATTATGACTGAAAGAGCTATTAGGAAATTCGAGCGCGGCGTCCCGTCGGTCCCCTCTCCTTCGTTCCACGCCACGCCGCGCACGGAGCCATGTGGTTCTTTTCAATCGCGCGGCCACCATTTCTCGCTTCCAAATGGTCACGTATAGCGAAAAGTCTCTGCCGTTGTCCGCTCGGAGATGGGTGAACGCCTCGACACGATAGGATGTCAACCGTCGATGCTCCAAGCAAACACGATCGTTAACGCGGCAATTAACCGGAAACTTTGCTGTCGGCTCGAGTTTCTTCGTTCTTTACGGCTTCGCTGGTGTAAATCTTTCCAGAAAGCTGGACTGAAAATAATCTTCGTATCGATTTTAATGCATCGTATTGTATTCTCGAACTATTTTTCAGACGTTTAACGCTAGACTTACGGAACCCGTAAAAATGATAATAAAAATAACTTTTTAATTTACGATTATTCACATCGTATACACTTATGAGTTATTTATTTCAATGAATATGTTACTTACGGCAAATGTTACGATAACACTTAAAAAATAAATAAGTAACTAGAAAAATAAAAAATGAAAAGTAAAATCGGAATCAAAACGTTTTATCGTTACTTTTATAAACCAATATGAAACAGCTGTATTTTTGTGCTCCGTAAATCTAGTGTTAATAATTATTGTTAGAGAATTAGCGTATTGAATATTTCTGTAGTCTACGCACAACTTAGGCCAACATTTCTATATTGCACAGATTTACATAAAATCTGTGTTTTTAGATGATTTTAGATATCTTCCGTAAAATCTTCTTTTTATATTGTTGTCACGACGATTTCAACTTATCCGAATGATAATTTGGTTCTGAGGAACAATAAAAAACGGTTCGCGTTTTCTTCTGTGAGAAAAATATATTATTATTTATTAATTAATATTATAATAATAATATAATTAATATTAATTAATATTATAATAATAATATAATTAATATTAATTAATATTAATATTAATATTAATAATATTAATTAATATATATTATTTTTATTAATATATTATTTATTCAAATACCCGATGAACTAATCTAATTCTGACATACGACTCGTCAAATTTGATTTACCTCTGGCATCAAATGCTTCAGGTCATCCACAGATTAGAATACTCTCCACGAATAAATTTCCTTCGGTATTGGTTAAAATTCTACGATAGCGAAAATATATTCTTAGAAAACTATCGACGACCTTGAATTCGTAAAATTTGTAGTATCTTCGTACCGTGCAATTAGTCTTGATACATTTTTAGAAGCATCGTAAACAGCGGACATTTTACAATACATAAAACGAATAAAGTTCCTTTTAGTCGATGTTAAATGCAAATTAATTGTCTAAAAACGTTTATCTGTCAAGGTTACGCTGCTTACCAGAATCGATAGAGTGTTCGATTTAATCTCGAACCATCAATATACCGTGCATGAAACGAGAAAAAAATAATTAAGCCACTTTAATAAAATAAAATTGCCCGTATAATTGACGAAAATGACATCAGCCGCACTTGATCTCTGAAATTCAATTTAGAAAGCATAAAAAGAATCGATAGCCGTTGAGAAACGGTTATTCTCTAAAAACAGACCGCAGCTACCGCATTTTTCCCCCAGATCTGGAGCGTAATAAATAACAACAAATTCGTTCACTGGGATTTAGATAACGCGTAACCCATTTGCCAACTTTCCCCAGTGATAGCAAACTGAATTCATTGCGTAACATCCAGCATTCGGGCCGTAAGCTATTCCGATTAAAATGCGCGGATTGAAATACGCGGAATACGCGCAAGATAAAACGAATTGAAATGGCCAATTAGAATGAACGGCTATCGTGGACGTAAGCTGCAGATGAGAGTTGTCTGATTTCGGATATTCCGACACGTTGTCATCGCGATCCCGATTTTTCCAGTTAAATGGAAAGTTCCGGCACAAGAGAGTGGGAGAGAGAGAGACACGGCCGTGTAACGTGAGACCGTAAAAGGGGTAAACTTTCCCTGTTTCCGAACGTTGAGTAATGGCGCCACGGCCCGGAAGGCGATTCTAGTTGAAAATCCCGCGAAAGCCAGTGCCATTGGCGAGTGACACGTGGGCAGAGCGGATCGAATCGCAACGCCGCGCTGGCCAGCGGCAGAGTGACTTATTAGAGAACGGCTTGATGCGTCCGGACATGTTAATACTTATCATAATGGACCCTTTGTCGCGGTGCCTGCCAACAATGCGTTCGTTATTGCACTCTCGCACGGCCGTTGCATTCTTGCAGCCTCGTGTTTGCACCGAGCGGCAGCGGCGGTAGCCGTAGCCGGTTCCTACGATTCTTACCGATGCCATTAGCGAGCCATTGTTTCATTCCACTGTTTATTTGCTCGCCTACCGCCGCCCGCTACCGTATTTTCATTGTGGTTCGATTTTCGCGATTCGCAGCCGTCGTCGTGAAAACTATTCCCTCGACTCTCGAGAATTCCTTCTCCTCCTTTTAATCTTGCATTGGTTCTCGGACAATGCAGTTTCACTATAATTATAGTAAAAGTTCTTACATATTAACCCTTCGCAGTCGGAGCCATTTTAACGCGAAATCCAAAATAATTTTTCCGTATCAGTTTATTATATATATTATATTAATTTAGTATATTATTATATTAATATTATAATTACTGTTATATTAATTTATTGTATATATTTAGTATTATATATACAGGGTGTCCCAAAATTATGCTATTTCCGAGAAATGAGGGATTCCTGAGGTGATTTGAA